TCGACATTCATCAATATATTTAAAATACAATATATATAGCGTGGGCCAACCATAAATAATACATAAACACATGGATCCACCACTTTTTTATCTTCCTACAAAAGATATAATATTTTAATATTATTTTGGCCCCGCAATTTTATATGTTTAGGCCATTCAATATAATGAATGGAAAATGTGGGGCCTATTTATTTTGCCATCAAATGGATGTCGTTGCTGAAATTTTGGCATTCAAATGACAGAAAAATGAGCTAATGCATATGCTCTAATAAAAATATTTTTGCCCTTTTGTATGACAAATAAATTATTTTATTTTTTTTACATGTTAACAATATAATGTCCAATGTTAAAAGCAGGAGCTGATCTCCCGCCTATAGATTGGCCTACCAGGCTTAGAATTGCTTTGGGATCGGCAAAAGGATTCGCCTATCTCCATGAAGACTGTAAAATATGCTCTTTCATTCTTAAAAAAAAAAAAATTGATATTCCTCAAATCATTTTTCTTTTCCAAATTTTTACCAACTTACATAATAAATTTGAAACTCATACCTTGAAAAACTTGCAGGTCATCCTCGCATAATCCACAGAGATATTAAAGCTGCAAATATTTTGCTTGATTTCAACTTTGAAGCCAAGGTATTCTCTTTACACTTCTCATGTAGTAATATACAAATTCAAATTTCTATGTTTAGCACGTGTTTGAAAAAGTATCTTCATAAATAGCTTGGCCGCTTATACATGGGAATTACAATATTGGTCTCCCAAATTTTTAAACTTTTGGATTCTCTCCACACACTCCATTCTTTCTTTTATATTCTCAAAATAAATGAGTCAAATAATTTATCTCTTGTCATTTCCATGTGATATATTTTGCAAATCCCTTCCCACTATTGCACGTATTTGAAAATTCCCTGTTAAATGCAGGTGGCTGATTTTGGATTAGCTAAGCTTTCTTCAGACACCAACACTCATGTCTCCACAAGAATAATGGGAACATTTGGGTACAAACAATTAGTTTCTGCATTTTTTTTTTAATCATGTATATGACCTTCAAGTTCTGTTTCACAGCATGCATATGTTGATTGAGATGCCATTTGACTTATAAAGTTGTAAGAAATAAAAGTTTAATTACTTAGAAAATAATAACAAATTGAAGGCTGCCAATTGACACAGATATTTGGCCCCTGAGTATGCATCAACTGGTAAACTCACTGAGAAGTCTGATGTCTATTCGTACGGAATCATGCTTTTGGAGCTTATCACGGGACGACGACCTGTAGACATCCATAGAGACGATGATGATGATACCTTAGTGGATTGGGTAAACATATCTATGTATATACTCTATTTTTATAAATCATTTTTCGCAAATTAGAGGAGTTTTGCCTTGTACTTAACTACATACATTATACAACTTTATTTAAAAAACAAAATTTTGGTACAGGCTAAGCCTATTCTGATCTCAGTCACAGAAGGGGGAGAGTACGAGAGTCTGGTGGACCCACGGCTAGGAAACAACTATAATACCCAAGAGATGCTCCGTATGGTTCATTGTGCTGCTGCCTCTATTAGGCATTCTGCAAGAAGACGTCCTAAAATGAGCCAGGTTTTTTTCGATCCAAGATATATATATCTAAATAGAAGGATCGATACTTGGATTTATTTCACATGAGAAGTTTTAACAATTAATGAATCTCCAACTAAGATATATCATTGAGCTAGTTGAGCATGAGTTGACAAATTTTTTGGAATGGAAAATTATTCAATAAATAATATATAAATCCACACACAAACAAAGTAGAGTGTACGTACGTTGATGAGAAAAATGCTACAAGTACATAATAAATGTACATAGAGTTGTACATAACACTCACATAGAGTGGGTCCACTTGATTTTTTATTTGAAAAATGCTACAAGTACATAATAAATGTACATAAAGATGTACATAGCACTCACATGGAGTGGGGTCCACTTGATTTTTTATTTTTAGTAGGACTCACTTAATGTGAGTGTTATGTACACATATATGTACACTATTATGTACTTATATCATTTCTCTTTTTATTTTTTATAGGACCCACTTAATTTGAGTGTTTTGTACACCTCTATGTACACTATTATGTACATATAGCATTTCTCCGTTGATGAATATTGTATTGTTTTATTTTTAATTTTTTTTCGCCTACAGATTGTGCGTGCTTTGGAAGGAGATGTCTCTCTAGACGACCTGCACGAAGGTATGAAGTCAGCCCAAAATGCCATGCTTGGGTCGAGTGGCAGCTCTGACTATGACCTGAAGAGATACAACCAAAAGGCCAGTGGTACCCCATCAAGCCACGATTTCACCAGTAGTGAGCATGGGCTCATAGGTGAATACACCCACCCCAGCAGAGGGAACTCGCAGGAGATCCACCGGCCAAGCCCAGTGTACCGTGCTCAGAGCCCATGATTATCGGTTAAAAGATTTGAATGAGGAAGGAAAAATTTAAAACTATGTTTTGAATATTTTAATCATCAACATCATCATCATAATATGGAGAGACCATAAGAAAGTTTCAATTTAGGCTCAACTGCATGCTTTGGTAATGGAGGCACATACATACATCACATGTACGTGTGCAGATGGTGGTGAAAAATACATTACTGCAGTTGGTTTGTAGATATGAAGGCTTTTTTTTTTAATTATATATTTCTATTTAACAAGGTGAACCATACTTTAGAAATAGACTGTAAATTTTTTTTATTATTTGCGACTAAAATAGAAAATTCTCTAGCTTTCATTTTGTTTGTTTTTTATTATATTCTTTTATAGAACATCAATATTGGTATTTGATACGTAAATTATTCTTGAATCGGCTTAAACCGGCACCACCACCAGGGGCGTAGCCAGAAATTTTTTATACTGTGGGCTACTAGAACCGATTTGTTAGGGAGTACAACTCAGTTCGACTCGTAAAAAGTCAATCTTGACTCATTCATATAATAAAACAGAAAATGAAAATTTAATTCAAACAAGCGGAACTTAATTGATGTCACTTGATTTATTAAATAACCTGAGCCAAACTTGCTAATTATTTATACGAGCATAAGTTCGAATGCGATGTATTCGACACAATTTGGCTTCACTAATATCACTATTGTTATGTGAAAATTTAAAGTATGATATTTTATAAGTGCTTAATGTAAATTACAAAATGAATGAATAAAAAAATATTAAAAATATGTCATGTCGTTTTAGCAAATAAAAAAATAGTACTGTCGCGTAATTTCTTCTTGTCTACTTAAATTTGAACTATAAAAATACTACTATGAATTCAAATACTGTCGCGTAATATTTCAAATACTACTATGAGATTAACATTTTATTATCCAACATATTTGTTATATGATATTTCACTTAAATTTTGCAAGTCCAATTGTCATTTTATTGAATCGGCAGGTTAACCCAACATACTTTTTTTTTTTTTGAAACGATAGAGAATATTATAAATAAAAACGCACAAATGTGATACAACCCCTAGTTGAATAGTACAACCAAAAGCTAAATAAACTGGGAGGACAGGTCAGAAGACCGCCTATAACCGATACTAACAACGGTAGAAACCAGAAAAAAAGACTCACGACACTACAGACACGACAAACACTAAAAGAAACAACAGAGCTCCCAAAGGGCGAATAGAGACGATCCCAAAGGGATAATGCCCGCTCTCACTCGGGTTGAACAGAGGCTAAAAGCCCAAACAAAAAACACAATCCTACCACACAAAGCAAAAAAAACAACACAGAAACAAAACAACATACGACACGAGCCCTTGCACAGCAAATCAACTGGCTGAACCAGCAGAGAAACAGTCGATTCCAAGAAAGATCCAAAGCCCAAGGGACCGCAATTGAAACTGCCGAATCGCCTATACAGAAGTCGAACCCAAACCTCGAATTAAAACCAAAATCGACCCGCCACCAACCGGAGGAACCACGAACCGACTCCCACCACCAAAGCTGCCCGAACACACCTAACACCACTAGCCGAGCACGGAAGCTCCAGGCCCCCCTCAGTCCCCAGCACCAGAGAACTGAGGAGGTGAGAACAACTCGGTCCCTCAACTCTGACCACCCCGATGCAGGACGTCGCAGCCGCTAGAGCCATGCCCCAACCACTAACACACGCTCCGCCCGACGCCATCGCTGACAGGGAAGACGACAACCAGATCGCACAAAACCCCGCCAGAATTGACGACGCCGTCCATGGGGAACCTCGTCAAAGCACCAATCGCAACATCACCGGAGGCGCGCAACGTCTAGGATGGGCCGAGCAGTCAAGGACGACCACTGGCCAGAATCACATCGCCGCCGATGAAGGCGAACCGACCGCGAATTTGAGGAGAGGCACCGGCGATTTGGGGATTAGGTTATATCTCATGAGAGAGAAAGAGAGCTTCTGTTTTAGTTTTTGCAATTTTTAACCTAACATACTTGTTATATGATATTTTACTCAAATTGTGATGAATGGTGTGTATAAAGGGAATAAAAATATTTTATCTCCAATGATGATGTTAATTGTGGAATAATTTGACATATGTAAAACAATAATTGGTTGGTGGAGAGAGTACTATAAAATAAATAATATAATATTGAATTTAAGATGTTTAAAAGTCTTTATCATCTAGAATACTTCTATATTTTTTTAAAGGAAAAATTACACTTTGCCTAAAATTTTTTTTTTCACACTTTGCCTACTAACTATGTTTTTTTGTACACTTTGTCATTTCTGGTCACTGCCGGCCACACGCGGCAATAAGGCACAAAAGCCACGTGTTGGATTATGAGGCCGGCAGTGACTGAAAATGACAAAGTGTACAAAAATGCAAAGTTAGGTAGATTAAGTGTAAAAAAAATTATGTAAGAAAAGTATAAATTTACGAATAGTTAGGTAGACAAAGTGTAATTTATTTTTTATTAAATGTCACAATAAATTTTTGGGACTAGTGACAATAGAAGAGAGAGAGGTCATAGGTGCACGGTTTGGCTAAAATGTTCAATTGTACGATCCAGTTGACATCCCACCAATAAGTAACTTGTGTTCCGCGAGCTGCATCTGCGAAAATTCCAATTACAAAGAAAGAAAGAGGAGAAGGGAAAAGATCTGGCCACTCAACTCCATTTGCGCCCTTGTTTGTGTTGATAATTCGTAGAAAATACTCTGAGATCTGTAAAGCCATCCTCTTGTCTGCAATAATTCATTTCTCTTTTTCAGTAGAAAAAAGACAGATCTCCGCACGATGGCGCAGCCGCTTGTGAAGAAAGACGATGATCGCGATGAGGAAGGTGCATTTTATGGAATTCAATCCATTATTACTGTGTTAGCTCGTCTATGCATAATTTCTATTCGTATTCAGATCCGAGAAGGAATAATGTATGATATGTTTGAATGATAGAACTCTGATGCGTTTGATATGGTGCCGAATAAAATTTGATTCCTTGTTAAGGTTTCCTCTAGGCCAGGGCATTATCTGATTTGTTTGGCACAACCCATGTTAACAGTTAGGGAGCATGTGGCATGTTACTCATGAAATCTTATATCTGAATTTCCCTTCCAACAATCAGTTCAGCTGTTACTTATTAGATCTGCAGTTTTTCTGTCAGTGCCTTTTATTGGTAGAATGAAGAAGCATCAAGTATGTCAATCATGCTGCATATCGGTTGGGAGAATGAGGTTTAGATTTTCTTTTTTCTTCTTTTTCTTTCTTTTTTTTTGGTGGGGGGGTAGTGGAGAATTTTAAAGATTGGATATTTATGATTTTGGGTTTCATTGACTTTCTAGTGCGCAAAGGAGGATTGGGGAATAGATTTTCATATTGCGTCTTCTAGTTTAATAAAATTGGATGTCAAATTAGTCCTCATTGGTGTGAATTTATAGTGTAGGTATGATTGGTCAGAGCTGGATTATGCAGGGTGGTTTCTATAGTTTTTGCATCTGCACTTGTAGTCTCATTTGTGATTATTATAGAGCTTTTAATTAAAGTTGAATAAATTCATATGCAATTGTGGTTGTTGATTTTCTGATGTGGAGCCATGTCTAATTTGCAGCTGAGTTCTCCCCATTTTTGGGGATTGAGAAGGGTGCTGTGTTACAGGAAGCTAGGGTTTTCAATGACCCTCAGTTGGATGCAAGAAGATGTTCACAAGTAATTACATTGCTGTTATAGCTGTTTGGTTCTATTTCTTTTTGTCTTTGAGAGATGATATTCATGTTCATATTTTTCTTTTATAGGTCATCACGAAGCTTCTGTATCTTCTGAATCAGGGTGAAACTTTCACAAAGGTCAAACTCTTAACACCACCCCATCCCCCTCTTTACTGACTGTCACAAGCATGCGTTTTAGCGCCCCTACTTGAATTTTCCTATGACCTAATTAGAAACGGCCAATTTCAAATAACAGGTCGAAGCTACAGAAGTATTTTTTGCTGTTACCAAGCTGTTTCAGTCCAAAGACACTGGTTTGAGAAGAATGGTGTATCTGATGATTAAAGAACTTTCGCCCTCTGCAGATGAGGTAACTTGATCATATTTGTCTTCCTTCGTTTGTCTGGTGAACCTTCTTTGCTTCTCAAGTAGTTAGATAATGAACTTTTTTTTCTTGTCATCAAAAGGTTATTATTGTCACTAGCTCCCTGATGAAGGACATGAATAGCCGTACTGATATGTATCGAGCAAATGCTATCCGTGTCCTTTGTCGGATTACTGACGGGACACTTTTGACACAAATTGAGAGATACCTAAAGCAGGCTATAGTGGACAAAAACCCAGTAGTTGCAAGTGCAGCCCTCGTGAGTGGTTTTCATCTACTGCAGGTACTATGTACATTTTTAAGCTTTTTTTTTTTTTTGTGTGTTTGTGTTTCCTCCCACCCTTGGTGTACTTAGTTATTGTATTACAGACCAATCCGGAGATAGTCAAGAGATGGAGTAATGAAGTGCAAGAAGCAGTGCAATCACGGGCTGCACTTGTCCAATTTCATGCGCTTGCTCTGCTCCACCAGGTAACAGTTTCAGGCAGAACATGGTAGAACAATTGCTTTTCCATTACAAGACAATCCTTTACTCCCAAACTAGATCCTATTTTTTCCTTTTTGGCATTTGTTCTTTGGATCTGAACTAATTGCTGAAAAATAACCCATACTATATTATTCAAGTTTGTAATAAGAAGGAAGTCCTTTTCTATGAAACAGTTCTGTTCTGAAACGCATTAGAAGAGTTTGAAAACATCTGTCCAATGATACTTTCCTTAAATAACCCCTTTTATTTTTACGATTTTTGGCTTCATTGTATATGCTGTGTCATTAATTTTAAATGGAATGTGATCTTTGTTTTCTCCCCAGTATTAGCCTGATTTGATGCATTGGCATGGTATGTGTCTGACTTTGCAGATAAGACAAAATGATCGGTTGGCTGTGAGCAAGTTGGTTACCAGCTTGACGAAGGGGACTGTTCGTTCTCCTTTAGCTCAATGCCTTTTGATCCGCTACACAAGCCAGGTGCTGAATTATTTGTTGTGAAGTAGTTGAAAATTAATTCTGCTCTTTGATCTTCTTTAAGTATTGATAAGGCATTTGCCCATTGAGCTGTATAGGTTATCAGAGAGTCAAGTGTTAATTCACAAACAGGAGACCGGCCATTCTATGACTATCTTGAGAGTTGTCTCCGCCACAAAGCAGAAATGGTTATCTTCGAAGCAGCTAAGGCAATCACAGAATTAAGCAATGTCTCTACTCGGGAGTTGACTCCTGCCATAACTGTTCTACAACTTTTCTTAAGTTCTTCTAAGCCAGTACTAAGGTTTGCTGCTGTCCGGACTTTGAACAAGGTCGGTGTCTTTCCCAAGTTTAATATGTTATCTATTGAGTGGACGGTTTCCTGCTTAGTACTATAAGTTTTTTCCTTATATTTTCCCGTGTTGAAGTTTATGAACTTGCTTCTTTAGTAGTTTGGTGTCTGCAGATTCAATTTGTCATCATAGATGCTAATGCGAGTATTGCTTGCTAAGAGTGCAAAGATTTATTGTTTGGCACTCAATTTCACCATTTAATACAATTTCACCATTTAATAGATGGATATTATCCGTAGTTCACTTGCATGGTCTGGACCCCTTTTTGGATGTAGACATTGATTTATTTTCTTTTATTTCCATCTTTAAATGAACACAGGTAGCTATGACACATCCCATGGTTGTTACAAATTGTAATATAGACATGGAAAGCTTGATTTCGGACCAGAATAGAAGTATAGCAACTCTTGCCATTACCACTCTGCTGAAAACAGGCAACGAATCTAGTGTTGATCGGTTGATGAAGCAGATCACAAATTTCATGTCTGATATTGCTGATGAATTCAAGATTGTTGTTGTAGAAGCTATAAGGTCACTGTGTCTGAAGTTCCCGCTCAAGTACAGATCTCTGTGAGTGATTACTGGGCGTTCCTTGGGAACTGAGAATGGACTTCAATGTTACATTATTTTGTACATGGATTCCTTTATAACTTTCAGTTGAAATTTCTCATAATGCTTAGTTCTTTTGTGTTTCCTATAGGATGAATTTTTTAAGCAGTATTTTGAGGGAGGAGGGTGGTTTTGAATACAAAAAGGCAATTGTTGATTCAATTGTGATCTTAATTAGAGATATTCCAGATGCCAAAGAAAGTGGACTGCTGCACTTGTGTGAATTTATTGAAGATTGTGAATTCACATATCTTTCTACGCAGGTTGTCATTTTTTTGTTTCTGGCACTGTTCTTATTACATTCATTCTTAGTTGGCTATCTTGTTTAGCTTTATTATCCTTAACTTTGCTGCTTTCATGATCATAGATACTTCACTTTCTTGGAAATGAGGGACCCAAGACATCAGATCCCAGTAAATATATCCGTTATATTTACAACCGGGTGATACTTGAAAATGCTACCGTCCGAGCAAGTGCTGTCAGCACACTGGCGAAATTTGGTGCTGTGGTTGATTCACTGAAAGTAAGGCTTCATTCATGTGTTGTGGTTATGCATAAGAATCTTCTGTTAATTACCAACTAAGAGGAATCACTAATTACCTTTGCTGCAGCCTCGTGTATTCATTTTGTTGAGGCGTTGCCTTTACGACAACGATGATGAGGTCAGTGTTATGCCTCAATGAAACTTGTGACCAATTGTTAGTGTTGCTTGTAAAACTAATTCAGTATTTTTATCTTGATACTCAGTGTTGGTGATTCTTTTATTTCTCTATGCCTTGGACTGTTTATTGAAAGACCTTTCATTCATCTTTATGAAACTTGAATCATTTCATCTCTCTTACAGGTTCGAGACAGAGCTACACTGTATTTGAACACTCTTGGAGATGGTTCAGTTACTGAAACTGACAAAGATGTCAAGGACTTTTTGTTTGGTCCGCTTGATATACCACTGGCAAATATGGAGACTAGTTTGAAAAATTATGTATGTAATGCTGTTTTGGTGCTTATATGAGGTTTTGTGCAGTATTTTCTGTTGCCGTTCTGAAACATATAGCTTTGAAGCTACAGTCTCACATCTTTTATTTTGAAACAGGTGCAAAACCCCATGGAAGAGCCTTTTGATATTAATTCTGTCCCTAAAGATGTTAAGTCCCAGCCTCTTGCTGAAAAGAAGGCCCCAGGCAAAAAGCAGACTGGTTTGGGTGCTCCACCCCCTGCCCCCACCTCTGCAGCTGATGCTTATGAAAAGCTTCTCTCTGCTATTCCTGAATTTAGAAATTTCGGAAAGCTTTTCAAGGTTTGTGATAAGCATTTTCGAAAAAGGGTTCATTACAGAGTAACTTCATTGCCTTATAAATTTATAAATACCCTCTTAAAGTGTTTGAAATATGTCCATCTTGTGAGTGTAATTGTTAAAAGAGTAACAAGTGTCGAAGGTAAGTGGAAATTGAATGAAACTGGTTTCTATTGTTAGTTGGGTAAAAATTGAGGCAACTTTTGCAAACAGTCGTTAGTTAAATTGTTCATTTTCTGCCAAATTTGTTCTGGTAATGTCTCTAGAATCAGTTTTCACTGATTTTCATGCCTCATGACAGTCATCACCGCCAGTGGAGCTTACAGAAGAAGAAACCGAGTATGCAGTTAATGTTGTCAAGCACATATTTGACAGCCATGTGGTGTTTCAATACAACTGCACAAATACCATACCAGAACAGCTGCTTGAAAATGTAAAAAAACACATTTGTTTGGAAGTATTATTTATTCTTTTTGTAAAAGTCTCTAAATTCTTTTTCTTATCCATATTCCTGTGTGTCTAGGTGACCGTTATTGTGGATGCTTCTGAAGCTGAGGAATTCTCTGAAGTAGGTGCAAAACCTTTAAAGTCGCTTCCATATGATACACCAGCGCAAACATTCGTGGCCTTTGAGAAACCTGAAGGAGTCCCTGCAGTCGGAAAATTCTCGAACGTGTTGAGATTTACTGTTAAAGAGGTAAATTTTACACACAAGTTAGATTTATATTTAAGGGGACATTGCTTGTGTTTTTCTTAGTAAGACAGCATCATGCTTACCTATACCAGTAGCCAAGTTGTATTCTTTCACTCGTTTAATTCCTGCTCAAATTCTTATTAGGTCGATCCATCTACTGGTGAGGCCGAAGACGATGGTGTGGAGGACGAATACCAGCTAGAGGATTTCGAAGTTGTGGCTGCTGATTATATTCTGAAAGTTGGAGTCTCCAACTTTAAGAATGCCTGGGAAAGCATGGATTCCGAGTCTGAACGTGTAGATGAATATGGTCTTGGGCCTAGAGAAAGCCTTTCTGAAGCTGTAAATGCAGTTATCAATCTCCTTGGCATGCAACCCTGTGAGGTCAGTGTTTGAACTTCTTTAAAACAGTTGAATGATAACATTTAGTCTTTTATGTATTGTTGTCGAAGCTGGGGGGCTGGCTGTAATAGTTTTTGGATCAAATTATTATTATTTTTTATTTTATTATTTTTTTTTTAATTTTCTTTTTATGGTAATGAAAAAACACTTAAAGAATACAGACACAATTAATTTTCACATTTACTTTTTACCAGGGTACGGAAGTGGTCTCCAGCAACTCAAGATCACACACATGTTTGCTGTCGGGTGTTTACATTGGGAATGTGAAGGTTCTCGTGCGGTTGTCATTTGGTATTGACGGGTCAAAAGAGGTGGCCATGAAGTTAGCTGTAAGATCCGATGATGTGAATGTTAGTGATGCCATCCACGAAATTGTTGCTAGTGGGTAAATTTTTCTATTCCCCATTTATTTTTGTGTTTCTTGGTTGAGAGAAAAGAAAAGAAAAAAACTATTTCTCGATAGATTAGTTTCTGCCTGCCAAGTTATATAACGGACTAGCATTTTGGTTGCGTAATTGAGGAAGAAGCTTGTATGGTGGGAGAATATATATAAATTTGTGTACTGTTGACCTAGGAGACAAAAAAATTTTGCCTTGCTGGGGATATCGATTATATATTCATTGGATCCAATTGTTTGTTACAATTTTCAGACGCTCTTGAACTAACTTGAAGTTGAGACTTTCCTAATGCACAAAGTTCTTTTCATTTTTGTTTGCTGGCAATGATCAAATGCGAACTTGGGTTTGTTTTTTGCTGAACGGCTTAAAACTTCTCACCAGTTGAATCAACGCATGTTTGTGCTGGCATGTTCTGTTCGTACCAATAATTATTGGTTTGTTATTTGTTCAGGGACATTTAAAAGCAATGAAAGATAAAGGGTATTTCACCCTTTATAACTACTTTGGTGATTGAATTTTCAGCATGTTACAAGGGTAATAGTAACTGAGTTTATACTTATTGGCAATATACAAAAAAATCGGTGTTTATTAGGCAGTAAAGTAAGGGCCAGCACCTACGTGAGAGTTATTCAGAAGCCTGGTTGAGGTTTACCGTTTATGTAGTGAGAGAATACAATTAGACAAATAATATAGGCAGCCGAAGGAGCTACGCGGGGACTTTCATTAAAATTAGTTGTACCCAATGTTGGAATATCACTTGTGAGTCGTCTTAGATTGATTTGTTAGGGTAAATGAGTCTAGTGGGCTACTCCTCACATCACCGATTAGTTTTGAGATGGAACTTCACTAGTTTGTTAGGGTAAATGAGTTTAGTTTACAAGTCTAGTGGGTTATTCTTTCCATCACTAATTGGTTTTGGGATGGAATCTCACTAAGGTATATTTAGGCTCACTCTCTTATGATGTGTTTCACTGTGTGGGACTGCACCCCTGATTCCTGATTATCAAAATTTGGCATGGTATCAAAGCGAGTCTAATTAGGGACCTGCGATGATTTAAAATGTATCCAGCTTGGTTGTAGGCTTGGACTTATGATGATTAAATGTACCTGGCCTGGTTGTAGATTTGGGCCGATGAAGGACTCAGTGAGAGGGGCGTGTTGTATATCACTTGTGAGTCGTCCAATGTTGATTTGTTAGGGTAAAGTGCACTTAGGCTCATCCTCTTATGGTGCGCTTCACTGAGTGAGACTGCACCTCTGATTCCCCGATTATCAAAATTTGACACCGAACGTCATGTCAACTCCAATTGATTGTGATTCTGTCACACTGTAGTCCTTTTGGGATTAAAATGAAAAGGAG